TTAACGTATCCCATGCTAGTCGAAATTCTAGTACTATAAAATGTTTGTTTTGATTTGCTATGAAAGATTGACAGATAAAATGAGGGATTAATGGATTTTCCTATGTTCCGATTAGCTTGGGACCGAAGATAGTACCAGAGCTGAGCCAAAAAGTTGAGCACGTTTCTTCGGGACCTACTACACGAAACGAAAATCAATTACTTTATTCATGTGTTTCACTTATACATTTTTGCCAAAACATCAGCCTTATACATTCCATAAGACAAACCACATAGGTCCTATAAGAATGCATAAAAGCTATGTGTGACCGCTTATACATTTCATTTGACACATGATCTTCATTAACTTTTTGCAAGGTGTCTGCTTATTAATTGACTTATTCATTTTATGGATAATCAGTAACAGGAATTTGCCAAAAGGTATAAGGAGATTTCTATCCATGTAGTCTTAGAGTTACCTCTATGATACTACTGTGCAGCGGGCCAAGAAACGAGCCTGTCGACGTTTATGAAGGTGAAGGTGGCGAACCGAGATTACAAACAAAACACGTTGGCAAAGCAGCGGTCCCGAAAGCTGTATACGAATCTGCTCACAAAGTTTGACAGTGTCGTCATGGACGACGAAACTTATGTGAAGGCGGATTTCAAGCAGCTTAAGCGGATGGCATGGCAGTTCGGATTTGGCAAACCATAAGAGTAAACGAACATTTTTTTGCTTTATATATATGAATTGAACTACCAAAAGAATAACAAGAAGATTTTTGTGATATGAATTTTGACTGAAAGAAACGATTTTTTTCCGACCAATTTTTGCGGGTTCCAGTCTTTATAATTCATTATTTTCCGTCTGCTAATTATAAGGTTTGCGAGTTAATCTTAATCTGATGACAGCTCAGTGGTACGTGGACTTTCATTTTTTTTCTTGGGTAGATTTGTTGGAGTTTGAAAAACACATTGACATTAAATCGTCTTGAAAAACATAAAATTCCCAAGGGGGGGTCGCGACCCACCTAGATTGAGAAAGCTGCTCTAGAGTTTCCGCAATGTTCAATGCCCGTAATTTTCCAGAAGTTCTCGGAAATGCCTTGAAGTTTACATAACTTTCAAAAAGATCTCTAAAGGTTCGTAAATTTCTCAATACATTGATAGTTTTATAAGTTACTAACTGAGTGTTCCCGGCCTTACTCGGGATTCATAATTAGCTTGAGTTTATGCACCGATTTAAAAAAAAGCGTGCTAAATTATGCGTACCCCCCCTCCCCTCTTATCTAAGGGGCTACCCCCTATGACCATCTCCTTATACCTCCACATGCCAAATTTGGTTCCATTTGCTTGATTAGTTCTCGAGTTATGCAGAAATTTCTGTTTCATTTGTATGGGAGCCTCCTCCTCTTAAAGAGGGGGGAGGGGTCTCGAACCATCATAAGAACCTTTCCCGGCTTCAAAAGCCCTTGCATACAAATTTTCACGCCAATCGGTTCAGTAGTTTCCGAGTCTATAAGGGTCAGACAGACAGACAGACAGTCAGACAGAAATTCGTTTTTATGTATATAGATTTGAACTTCCCCGAAATTGTCTGGACTTCGTTGAAGTTGTAAGTATTTCTTAAAAGTTTCCACAATTTTTCCAAAGTTCTTTGATGTTATCGGAAGTAAACGAAATTTTCCAGAAGTTTTCTAAAGATTGATGCTCACGAAACATTTTTAATATCTTTAAACTTCTCCAAACATCTCTGAACCTCCTCAATGTTCTTAATGATCTTGGATCTGTCTGGGATCTTAGGAACTTCCTTTAGTATTCAGAACTTCTTTGAAATTCTCTAAGCTTCTGTGAAATGTGTATGTTAATATAATTGCTCTGAGGTCCGTAATTCAGTTTCTCAGCAACCATTCACCATCGGGTGATGGATAGAGATTGTAGCACGCCATGATTCGTTCAGAGACGATTAGCGTTCAGAACGCCATGTTCTACTACCAAAAATGTTAAAAATCCGTCTACCGTTCTGCACTCGAGTTGATAAAACGAGCGGTTTGAGGGCCACCGCTAATGAGGTATGAGACCTAACCTCAGGTAGGTTCAGTGATGCGGGATGGGGAGAGTAATAACTTTACAGTTTTAGAAATTCATTTTAATTCACAATAATTTTAGCATGTATTTGATTTCTATTCTGAATTTCTTTATCCTATCTGTACGTGTCTATACATACTCGGTCATGGTCATTAGATCTGTTACTATACTTGCTTGTTTTCTTTTGCTATAGGTTGCTGCAGCTTTATGTAGCTTGCTGTAAGAAAATAATTTGATACAGTAAGTACAGAAACATGCTTTTGCAATTTGCTGCACAGAATTTTACAAAAAAGCAATAACGGGAACAGACCCATCAAGAAGTTTTCATAATTTTTGTACGAAATTTTACACACTGGATTTCGTTTTAAAATGGGTCCGGAAGTTAAAACGAAATAATTAATGCCGTTTAAGGAAACTTCTCTGAAATTCTCTAAATTGTCAAGAAGTTCTCAGAACATCCTTAATATTCCGGAAATTTTCCTGATATTAATGGAATTTCCTTGAAATTAATAGAAGTGCTCTAAAGTTCTCTTATCTTGCTCAAAGTACACGGAACTGTCCTGGAGATAAAGAACCACATAAACATCTTCAAACTTCTCTGAACTTCTTGAAAGATGAAGCTTTTGATTTTTTTTAAATTAATGGGACTTCCTTGAAGTTATCTGATCATTCCTGCAATTTATCTGAAATTCTCGAAACTGCCATGCAGCTTTCGAAACTTCCCTTAAAATGTTCTCACATTTTCCCGATGTAAAGATTCCAAAATTTTCATGAAACTCTCGGAACTTTTGGAACTTTCCAGAGTTTCTCAGAACTGTCGAAAGTTCTGAAATTTTGTTGAAATTAATTGAACAGCTTTGTGGTTCTCTGCTGTTCTCGAATCTTTCCTGAAATTTTCGAAATTCTTCTGAAGTTTTTTTTCTGAAGTTCTGAAATGAATGGATAATTCCAAAGAAGCAATAAACATCCCCGGAACTTCCAAGACTTCTATGAAGTTACTGAAATATATCTTAACTTTGTTGTGGTTTTCTGGAGTTCTCGGAAATTTTCCTGAAATTTTTGGAATATTTCTGATGTATTCTAAACTTGCCAGTACGGATAATTCTACTTCCCCAATAGTCTGGACTGTAATCAAATTCTCGGAATATCCCTGAAGTCATTGTAACTGCCTTAAGATCTCTAAACCTAACTAAATGAAGATTTTGAGACTTTGGTGTTTTCACTTAAAAATATTTGAGATCTTATATACATATCCCATAGATCATGGTGGCAACTGAATTTCCCTTTTAAAATTCCAGTATTTTTCCTGGTCTAACTGGACAATAATTCATAAATCTCCCGATATTTTTTTCCTCGATTCTTTTTCCGTGCTGAGTACCAATGCTACTGACGCCAGGAAGGCAGCTCCCACACCTGGACCCTACCTATCGACCCATCAACTCATGAACCGGGGACCAACGGCTTTACTTCCCTTCCGAAGGAAGGCGTGATCAGAGATGTTATGCCTCAGAACATCCCGACGGCGCCTACTGGGATTGAACCCAGGCTTGCTGGGGGAGAGGTAATCACGATTACCACTACACCACAGGCGATGCTATCTCCTGATATTACAAATCAATTGAATTTTTGTAATCAAAGAAATATCTCAGCGCCACGCACACATATTGCGTGTCTGTTTATTTACATTTATCTGCTGCTTGCTATTCTATCCATTCCAATCGACGGAATTGTCCAAAACGGGTTGAAAACCTTTTCACAAAGCTCTAAACTTTTCAGGCGAGTGTGACTATTGTCGGCAGACTCTTTTTCTTAGGCATCCTTTCCAATTGAACTGCATGTTAACCAGCTGTTCCATTATCGGCAACTGGAAATCAACCGTATTTTGAAATGCGTATGTTTCATTTGACGAAAAATCTAGCATAACAGGCTTGGTCGTAAAAACGTTATCAGATTGAAGTTGAAAGACTAAGGAATCGTTTGAAAATATTCAGCGAAGTGTTTTGGTGAGAAATTTACGTTTAAATTTTGGTTGCCGAAAACAGTTAATGGATGTACCCAACACCGTGTTGCCAGATCTGAGTTAACCACATCCCTCAGGACCCGAGGAAAACAACCCGCGATACCCGTTAGAGATGTCTTGGATAGCCGAAATCTCGACTATTTGAATTTAATTTATGTGTTTTTAAAACGGATAGATCTGCGGATTTAGTAGTTAATGTCATCTTGTGTTCTCCCAAGTTGTTAGCTTCCCATCGGGGGTCCGTCATTTTGATCAGTTTGTCGCTTAGTTCGAGATCAAGAGCACATTGCTCTCCAAATCTTGTATTCTCAATCCCTACCCTGCCAACCATTTGTTTCTATTTGTTACCCCTAACCGCGAGATAGCCGCGAGTAATCGGCCCCCGCTTTACTAACGTTACTTTCTAGTAGTTTTGTGATCTAAACAATGAATATCGACTCCGCAAAGCTACAGCAAATGAGCCTGGAAAATAAATGCATTAAAAAAAATAGAAAACAGTCAATGGGTGCCGAAGCCAACATTTACCCTACTTCTATCAATTTGATTGGAAATTTGTTTGAATTTTCCGCAAATTTCTAACAGTTGAAAACGCTCTCCAGTTTGGCCTACAAAAATTGCAACCAAAAGAACCTTATTTAAGTACAATTTTCATCACAACATAATTTAAGCGAGCTTTGAACATTAATAAGTTTTGAATTTTCCGGTCCCATTTTTAAGATTTTTACCCAATTGCAGCAACAGCAAACGCACCAATAAATGATAATACAGCCGAGTTAATAATAAAAGAGCGAATCTATAACGAAAATCGACAATTCCAGTTAGTCCCTTATGATTCTGAACGCTAGAAATGGTTCGTGAAAACCACTCATGATACAGACAAGGCAAAGAAATAAAACGCAGTCAACCCAAAAAAATCAAATATATCACACATTTTATTCACATAGCTTACAAAGTCGACAGCTTGTCAACGTACTCGTTCGGGACATGGGCACCTTCAGCACGGAATCCAGTCTGCCCATCGGCAACATACTTGACCTTGTACTCCTGGCCATCGTCGCCGACAAACTGGAAATTGCCCTGCACGGTCAGATCTTCACCCTTCTGGTCACCCTGCTCGACGCGAGACGTTCCATCGTCGGTTTCATAGCTATCGAGAGAAGCAAATGCTTTAATAAATGTACCATTCAACGTCAGTTCTCCCAAACTACTCACGCAAACTTGTAGGTGCCCTCTCCGTCGGCAACGTTTTCGTACTTGAGAATCTGGCTATCGGCGCTCACGGCAACCAAGGCGATCAGGGCGAATACAATCAGAACTTTCATGTTTCCTTTGAAAAATTCTCGGAACAACTGTGCAAATGAAATTCAAAATTCGTTCTAAAACTGCAACACCAACGTTCGAGTTGTTTTGTTTGGGAAGCAGATGTGACCACCTTTGGGGACAGGAAATCTCTTATATACCACCATCAACAGCTAATTTCGTATTCAGTGGTTCTGATTACCGCATAGCCGGTTAGAAGTTAGAAGTCAACATTTAACCGCCACCACGAGGTGACCACCACCCGACACAGAAAGAAGAATTCTCGAAATCGGCACGAAACTGAATGACATTGGATGTTAAACATAAAATTTATAGAAGATGTTGATGTTGATGGCGAGCCCGAAACTTATGAGCAGAGTCGTGCTGACAAGAAGCACTTTTGAAGAAAGAAGTGTGGAATCTTAATAATAGGATCATAAAATAGGATCATGGTGTGAAACTTGCCGATTGGCTGGCCCCGAAAGGGGTGGATCACTGATGTTGTGCTTATTTATAGATGACATCCTATCAAATCAGAAATGTTATTCATCTACCATTGTAATGAAAATATTGCGTACTACCGACACTGGGCATAGAGCAATCTTAAATTTTGTTTACTTGGGAGGCTTTCAGCCTGGAGCTGGTTCGGCTCCGAACATTGGGCATTTCCGTTGCCTTACAGGCAGCATTTTTCCTTCTACCTATTTCGAGTTTCGTTCATACCTGGAAGTTGTGTCTTGTTGTGTACCTAGAGTCAAATAAAATACCTTCCCGTAAATCGATGTACATCATTCCCATCCTGAAGTGCAAAGTCGCAAATCATCCAGAACATGAAGCTCGTAGTATTCTTACTGGTGCTCAGTGCCACCGTCATAACTTTCGGCATTAGTGCCCCGGTAGAGCAGTCCAGCAATAAAGCGGTCCATCGTGTTCAGCGTCAGAGCATAGCGCTGAAAGTGGCATATCCCTTGTGGACCAGGATTCGACCGTATGTGTGGCGCTGGGTAAGCTACCGCGTTCGAGAGAGGTGGTTGGGTCAGCAAGAGAATCGGTCAGCTCGATCGGGGAAGCCGAAAGTGTCCAGCTTCTATCGGTACCGACGTGCAAGGAACATGAGGAAGAACGCCGTGTAGATGTAGATTGCGGAAGAATGAGTTTGTAAAAAGTTAATAATTAAAAGAAGATAGTAAACAAATAAATGCGCTTTAGGAACAGGAAGAGAAAATTTCATCCAATTACATTTAAAAAAAAAATCACCATCAATAACATCACTGCAAACCTATGGCCTGGGATATTAAAATGATATCAAAAATATATGTTTATTAATATATTTGATAAGACTCAATTGAATGAACTTTAGAGGGCCGAGGATTCTTGCTTACTATACAAAACATCGTAAAACTTTAGTCAAAAGATACAACACAATTCACACAGATTAATCTTCCGCTATCCAATAAGCATACTCCATGAGAACGGGATCCGCTTCCAGTACGGTTGCTTTCCACAGTCGATGACGCATCGACAGAAAGAACTGCTGATGAAGAACAATGAGGAGGACCACACAATAGTTGCTGCCGAGTAAACAGACGATCACGTGACACATATCGAGAGTGGCCTGTTTCTGTCGACAGCCGAGTCAACACTGGATATCAACAATGAAATATTTGGTTACGGGTAATCTACGGGCATATTATCTAGTTAAATAATTCATGATCACAATATATTGGTTATTTTGACGTAGGAATACGTCTTTAATTTCTTTCGTATTAAAAAAAAATCCAAATTCAGACATGTAACGAAAAATCCCAAACACGGACGTAAAGATAGAGCGCAAATCGAACCCACGACACATTGCGCATGCTTACATGAGCGAGATCACCAAGGGAGGAGAAAAGCAGCGGTAATAAAAACGTTTGCCAAATCGTTTTCTTCGTCATTTACTTTCAAGCAGTGTGGCCAACCAGGGAAAAAATCGGTGCCTTGGTGGAATTCCGAAGTTCGGAATGCGATTAAATTGAGGCGTAAAGACTTCGACCTCTCCCAAAAGTACCAAAAGATGATCGTCAGTAGTCGTACAAACTTGTTGAATTCAAGGAAGCACGGAATGCTGCTAGAAATACTATTAGTCAAGCCAAGAAGGATAGTTGGGATAATTTCATCGCAACTATAAACCCTGAATCCACATCCAAGGAGTTGTGGGATAAAGTTAATCGACTTAGTGGTGGACGTGGCAGGATTCTCATAAAAATTCGTGTTGATAATCAATTCACTGATAATCCCTCCACTATCTCTGAACATTTGGCAGATCACTTCTCTTTCGCTTCCTCCTCATCTAGCAACAACCAGCAATTTCTGGCACGGAAAAGGGAATCTGAAGGCTCTTCCCTTAGCTTTGATACAGATTTGGATCTTGAGTTTAATAAGGACTTTAGTTATGCAGAACTTGAATGGGCTCTTCGAAGGGTAAATGGCTCATCAGCCGGTCCGGATGATGTTGGCTATCCTCTTCTCAAGAACCTTCCTATCATTGAAAAGTCAATTTTGCTATTGCTGTATAATACCATGTGGGATAATGGCGTGATCCCTGTTGACTGGAAAGAGGGTTTATTGGTACCATTTCCGATTCCGAAACCAGGTAAGGATAGAAGTGTTGCTGACAGCTATCGACCAATCACTTTGGTAAACTGCATAGGAAAGGTTCTTGAGAAGATGGTTAACCGACGGCTATTGACTGAGCTTGAGTCACAAGGATTACTCGATAATAGACAATTTGCTTTTCGCCCCGATAAAAGTTCTGATGACTACTTGACTGAGCTGGAAGACCTTATTGAAAAACACTTAGATCGCGGTATGCATTGTGACTGTGTATCCCTAGATTTATCTAAGGCATACGATCGTGTGTGGCGTTTCCCCATCTTACAGTCCCTTGAAGAATGGGGAATCAAAGGTCGTATGGGTCGTTATGTCCAGAGCTTCCTTGAAGATAGAAAATTTAGATTTTCGCTTGGTAACACTCGATCGCAGGTCAGAATACAAGAGAACGGAGTTCCACACTCTTTTCCTTATTTGCATGCAATCGCTATTTGAAACAATCCCTCCCAATATATTCTTGTTTATGCTGATGACATCACATTAATCTCCTTCCATAATTTCAAATCTCTAGCCCGTAAAAGAATTCAAACCGCTATAAACATAGTTGCTCACTGGGCAGATGAAAGAGGATTTGTTATCACTCCAGAAAAATCCTAACATCTTCATATTAGTGCCAACAGAAAAGGAATAAGTAAACTTCCTGACCTGAAAATTAAGCAAACCATTATCTCTTCCAAATTGAATCTTAAAATTCTTGGTGTCTACCTTGACCGTCGCCTAAACTTTAAAGACCATGCTGACGCCGTTCGAAAGGCAACCGTAAATAAAATACGAGTAATTAAATCCATTGGTGCGAGAATGCCCTGTGCTCATAGATCTACAATTCTCAGGATAATTAATGCATGGCTATTACCCAAAATTTTCTATGGCGTTGGTCTCTTTAGTAGAGGTGGTGATGCTGTGACCAAGCCTTCCGATTTGCTTCAGGCGCTTTTGCAACAAGTCCCACATTTTCGATCATGGCAGAATGTGGCCAGCTTCCATTCGAATACTATCTGTTAGTTTACCTTGTTACGAAAGCTATTCTTTGGTTGAATCTCACTGACCGCAATGAAGTTCCTTTGGTTATTAGAACGATTGGTCTTTTTGAGTCAACTACAAATTCCAATATACCATCAATAGCAATTTTACCTAGAACAAAAACGCGCCCCTGGAATCAAACATCTCCCTCAATTGATCTTTATCTACTTAATATAGTCAAATCCGGTGATCCTCCTTCTTAAATTCAGCAATATTTTTATAAACTTCTCTCAGAAAAATACAATAATCATCATCACATCTACACTGATGGATCTGTGTCAGATTGAAGGGTTGGATATGGCATAACTGCTGTCTCGATTAATTTCAGCGTCAATTCTTCTCTTCCCTCGGTTTGTTCAATCTTCAGTGCTGAAGCTTTTGCTTTAATGAAAACCTCCAATATGAGTTCACACCCCAACAAGCGTATAATCATCTTTAGTGATTCCGCTAGCTGCATCCGTGAAATGAACTCCGATTCAACACGTCATCCTTGGTTGTTTGAAGCAGAAATTACTGCTAAAGATAATAGAGTCACTTTCTGTTGGGTTCCAAGCCACTCTGGAATTCGTGGCAATGAGGAGGCGGACAGGTTGGCTGGAATTGATCGAGAACTTGATGCTTTAGAGATGTCCGTCCCTTCATCTGACGTCTGCAGATGGGCCAAGCATAAAATTAGAGAGAAATGGGATTTGGAGTGGTTCAAAAATAGGTTTTGCACTTTAAGAAGAATTAAAAATGCCACTCTCTGTTGGCCTGAACATAGAAATCCCAAAGATCGCCGCATTCTGTCGAGGCTTCGAATTGGACACACTCGACTTACCCATAGTTACAGGATAACGAAAGAAAAACCCAAACTGTATCACATGTGGTGCTACTCAGTCCGTCTCTCATATTTTTATCGATTGCATATTGCACAGAAAGTTTGGCTAATAATTTGAATAATTATTCATTGAAGGAGGTTTTGTCATTACCTTGTGAGGAAAAATTATTAAAATATCTTAGAGTCACTGGTCTCTACGAAGAAATATAAATGTATAAATGAAATGTAAAAATTTAATTTACTGAAGGGATGAATGACCATAAAGGTTAAAATCCCTCAAAAATAAATAAACAACAAATGAACGTGATCAGTTGCAATTCCATTAGCTGTGGGGACAGTCGTCACAACTAATTTTAAAGACCTAGACAGCGGACGCAGACATCGCAATGTGAAGCATTACCAACGGCAACGACATCCTTCGAACGTTACACAGCTGAGTTTGACTACAATGGTCACCTGCGTAATGCTGCTGCCAGGAAAGCCAACTGAGCACGCTGTTTCTGGAGATACCCAAGTACACCAGTTTGTTCGCTTCGATCCAAAATGGCAGATTCATTTGCGACGGAGATGGTCACCACAAATTTGGTAGGACCCTGAAGGACGCGGACATTGAAGGCTCTCTGAG